GGACTGTGAAGCCAGGGCCCTGGCCGTTCACTGTTGTTCCAGGCCAAGTGGTGTTCTTTGGCAGAGGAGAGGTGTTAACTCTTGTTTCCTGGCCACGCTCCAATTTGGCTGACCATATTGTTGCTTTCTTAAATTCCTGCCCCACCCGACCTGCCAGGTTTGACTGTGTGCTGATTCCTACAACCACTTGTTGCTGTTGGTTATGGATTGGCCCGTTTTTCACCCCGGAGCTCCCTGCATTGTGTTGTTTCAATGGTCTCAGGCTGTAAGTTTGTGAAAAAGCATGTTTGCAAGATGGGTTTTTCTCCCCCTTTCTTTCCAGCCTATGAAAGTGCGGCTGTCACAAAAGGTGGCAGAGCAAGGTGGTCGCATGCAGTTGCAGGGCTGTTGTGCTTTGAAAGGGTTTTCCAGTTTCTCAGTTCCTCTGGCTGCCGTTTCCCCTGTAACTATCGGAACAAACTGCCTGTGCCCCTCTAATCAAAGAAACGTGAAGTTAGCAAGAGGCCCCAAATACATTTCCTGGCAACAAGACAAAAGTAAGTCTACTGAGAAGTTTATGCAAAGAGAATATTTCTAGTATATACAGTTCTGTCTTGTACTCAGATGCCCATACCAAAGCAATTACTGTACGGGAGATGCTGACTGGCTGGAAGAACCTGTTCATTCTGGATCTGTAATGGAGCCTGTGAGGAGCTCAGCTTCCTGGTGTGGAAGAAGGTAAGTGTGTGTGAGGAAGGGAGGCTGGGACATGTTTATTTGGGAGGGTAACCTTTCTGGGCCGGGAGCCTACTTTTTAATTTATTTGGTGGTCCAGGGAAATTCGTCACATCACATTCTCCAGCTCCTATTTCCACTGAGGCAATTACATCACCCTGGAGTCTTAGCTAGCGAACAGGGACGCAGCTGTATAAAGCGCAGGCTGGCCGACTCATGATGGCAGCAATGCAGTTTGTCCCTAAGACAAAGTTCTGCAGGAGAGGTAGAAGGCTGGGTCCAGCCAGAGAAATGCAGATCCAAGGCCAACGCTGAATTCTGAGCCAGCTCACGGATGTTTTTTTCCATGTCTGCTTTTACCCCACCCTTGAGCTCCTCACATCAGATCCAGAGACACACGTGGCTTCTGTGTCCCTGTGTGCACGTGGGCTGCTGTTTCTGGGTTCCCAGGAGAAATGCCCAGGACAGGTACTTGGACCTTCTGAGTGATAAATGGTCTGAGCAGCATTTTAATGATCTGGAGCGACAGGGCATCTCCTGCTACTTGACAACACTGTATTTTGCAAAACAAGGGTGAAGAGTCAAGGCCTGCAGAAGTTGAGGCAAAGACTGGGACGTGGGGATGTGGCAAAGTAAAGTGCTGATAGCTGAAGAAGGTGGAAATCCTACAGCGTGAGGCTTCCACAGTAGAAAACCAGTGACTCTCCCACTCACATACTCGTTTTTGGTGTCATTCCATGCATTAGCACAAATAAAGGAAGGAGCTCGGTGTCTGCTGGGTCACAGCCCCTCGCTTTAGACTCTCAGCATTCGAAGTGACGTTAGGGTATTTACTCATGGAGTCTCACAGCACCTCTGAGAGGTGTCCAAGTACATTACCATTGTTTCACTCAGCAGCCTTAAAGCCGAGAGGGGAATCGCTTTTCACAGCCAGACAGCAAGGCAGTGTCCGAGCCAGAAGACGACTGAGGACTGCCTGGTGCTCAATGCATTGTATTTTCCTCCAGACGCCACTGCCTCCTCTGGAGAATGCTGAGTCTGCTTCTGAACCCAGTGTCTCATGTTTCTAGTCCATCTTTACACCAAAATCTTAACACTGGTTTAAAACGGGCATAATTAACTTTGGGAAAATGCATCTCTAAGCTCTTGTGGGCAGTGATTCTGTTTTCAAGAACTGAACTATTCCTTCTGCAACACAATGGAAGCACATTCTCAGAGAGTTAATAAATTCATGCGTGCCCTTTAAAAGAAGAAATCAGGATGATTTTTTGGACATTTTTAGGCAAAGTGTTTTTTTTTTTTTGTTTGTTTTTTTTTTTTTTTTTTATGAAGCCTCCTTGGTAACCAGTTAAAACAAATTCCTCCAGACTGTAAACTAGAGATAATGGAGTTCGCCTTTAATCTCGGTCCGCTGCAGATCAAGTTACCTCTTAGAAATTACTTATCCTGGCCAAGCAAATGAATTGGAATTGATGTTCTTAATTGTTTTCTAAATTGCTGTTCCCCACTCCCTTCCTCCCCTTCTCTCCACACAGCTGTTTTGCATCAGAGTCCAGTCTAATGGGTACTGTCACTCACACGAGGGGGTGAAGTCATGTGGTCATAAAAGAGAAAGATTGGGGGAAGAGAGGGAAATACCACCCAGTGCATTATCTGGCTGTGACACACACAAATTGAATAGAAATAATTCCTCCTAGGGGGCTAGTCCCAACAATGGACACAGTTCTGTCTTGGGGTAGAAAAATGTGGAGGCTCACTCCGTTCCCTGATACTCATTTCTCCCTTACAGAGAAGGAAGATGATTAAAGTGCTAGTTTGGGACAGAGGAAACCTGGGTTGAAACTGCTGACTGCTGCAACCTCCTTTGTCTGTTTTTGTGCAAGTTGCCTTGTTTATGCCTTAACGCCTGCATTTGTAATGCATAAATAATGCAATTCCCCTCCTCTTTCCTCAGGGCAACGATGGTCTTTCATTAGCTGTATCTTACAAAACAGCTTAACCTGCTCTCTACGTCCAAAAAAGTGCTTCAGCACTGCCTGTGTTTACATATATTAGGCTCCAGCCCCATGTGGAACTTGAGTTTCGGAGCCTTTGGGCTGTGGGAGCATCAGGCCAGGTCTTAACACCAGAATCCCGTCCCTCTGCATCCTCTTAAGAGGGGACAGATCTCAAGTCTCAAGCAGGAACCATCTCCCGAGGATATTTTGCTCCTATAAAAATCATTCCTGCACATGAAACGTATACAAACAAACAATTGCACCAACGTCCGTGTCTTGCCACTATGTTCCCTCCCACAATATAAATGACCTATAAAACCAGTTTTACTGCCAGCAGTTCTCCAGAACTCAGCTGTTCCCTTTCAGACACTGTGCTTCCATGGACTGGCAACTGTTTTCTGCTCATCTGACCATTTAGAGTAGCCGAGAGGAGCAGAGGTTATCCTCTTCCTAACCTCACCCAAAAGGTCCTTCTTGACAAACAACAGCCTATCACTTATTCTCATTACACTTCTGTGAGACCAAGGAAACAAAGAATTTGCTACCCACATAAAATCCTGAAGGGCCTGCTGGAAAAGCAGCAGACTCTTGGATACCTGTTAGTAATATCTGACAATACCATACAGAACTGAGTCCAAGAAAGAATGGCAGGAAAGAAGGAGTTTTATGCAAAATGAGTTAAAAGTCATGCTAACGGCTGGAAGTGGTGGGGAAAGCCAACAATGTCATAAGCGGGGAGACTTTTCCCTCCTTTTCAGTAAGGAGAAAACGGCTTACCGCAGCACTGCACGCAACTGTCGTGTCCCAGATCATTGCTGGCACTAGCAAAATCATGTGCATTTATTCTGCAATCACCTATCCTGGGGGAGCTACACATTCAGCATTCTTCAAAACTGGAAAGAGACTAACACTGGCCTGTCCTTACAGACATGCTGGTTAAGCATCCTTTTTTATTGGGAAGTGTTTGGCAAATAGTTTTGATGATTAATCTAAACCTCACAGTGCAGATACCCTTATCTTCCCGGATAAAGGAGAAGGAAAAGAAAATCTGCCTCTGACAAACCTTAGTTATGTGACAGGGAGCTTATTCTGATGCAGTCATGGAGAAAATGTTGTGAGAATCTAAAGGGAATGCATTTTGTTTTGCTTTGCTTTTTTTGCAATTAGTCTTTCCTGTGACAGGTAGGGCCGAGAGCTGGTCAATGTCCTGGAAGGAAGAAAATTAGACATGCAGGTGTTGGGGGTTGTGTGAATGTGAATTAGGAGCACAACTTCCAAGTAACGTGAATCAGGTACTCCTGATTGTCTAAATTCAGGTTCTTTCAGCTAATAGTCAAGGCTCAAAGCCAGTTTTTGGAGACCTCTCACAAGTCAATGTGCAAGATCGGAAATTTGTGGGTACAACACATCCTGCCCATCACAGGCACTGTGTTAGAAGTCTTGTTGCTCCTATCAGCAGCCACAGGAGTGGTCCCTGGTTCTGTCAACGTGGTCCAGAACAGTGAAGATTCAGGATTTCAATGACTGAGTGTGACGATGGCTCAAAGGAGGATGACCTCTAGGAAGACATGGCTACAAAAAGGTCAAGGTAGGCAGTAGTGCTTTCACATGTGGGCACTATTTTTCAGTCTGGGAGGGAAAGCAGACAAAAAGAGATTACAGCAGTGCTCAGGAAGGAACTATGACCTTACCATAGCTTCCTTGCTTCCTTTTATCACAGGATTTTTTTAGCTGCCGGAGCTACAACCTGAGCTCCTGCTCTTTTTGCTTCTTACCTCGTTACCAGTAAGGAAGAGTCTGCAACCAGCATTTTGCTGAAGAGGTGCCAGGAAGAAGGGAACCCAATGTGCTTTTTCTGTAGCCGTATGTGCTAATAGCAGGAAGGAGAGAAAATAATTTGTGTCAATGAAGCAAACAGATGTGACCTTAGATGGTGCTACTGTGAGGAATGTTTTAACAATTCCAATTCGTGTCCATAAATTCGTGTCCATAAAGAATAATTCTGTTTGAATCCTGTCTGCCTCTGGGCCCTGCACTGGCAGTTTAATTCTTGAACCACAGATGCAGTGTGCCCCAGTCTCCCCCTCATTCCAGTCAATTTATCACGTCTTCAGAAAACACTCCTTAAATTTATGAACCTGTTTGCTTTTGTTATTCCTGACTTCTAGTTCTAACAGTTACAGCCTTTTTTCCTGTCTTCTTCGAGATTAACTTAACACTGCTATAGATGTGTCTGTGAATGGCTGGGGAAGAATGTTTTAATTACTCGTGAAGCGTCAAATAAGAAAGCTGTTTGTGTTTGATGTCTGGGAGTTTCAGAACAACTGATAACAACTAGTGACTGTTATGGGATACTATGAGGATCCTTGGTATCTGGCCTTGCTGACATTAGGTACTTGCCGACTCCCTGAATAGCCCCATTCAAATCAATGTAACTGCTCTTGGAGCAAGGTTCTGCTCCGTGTTAATGAAGATGTCGGAATCTGGCCCACAGGGAATAAATGTGTTGAGCAAGAAGGGGCTCTTTTATAACCTCTTTCCTAGAACATGTTTGGAGGCCTGCGTTTGCAGCTGGTTCCTATCTCAAAGCTGGGCCAAACCAAGCCCCCCCTTACCAGAAGATACAAGCGTGCCCAGACTTTTGGAAGTTCAGCTCTGGATCCAAACGTTAGGTCTGATCCAAAGTTGATAGACTCCCGCTGACCTAAACAGGCTCCTGCTGACCTAAACAGTCACTTGGACCGAGTCTCTGTGACTTGGGCCAGTCCTGACACAAGGCGAAACACCATCCACCAAAACTGCCGGGCTGTCTGGGCCCATGCTTGTAAGAATACAGCCACTTTGCTTTTTCTTTTTTTTTTCCTCTTGCTTTTTAAATTATTTTTAGGGAAGGGATTGGTCTCAAGGAGGCATAAACTCCCTTCTTTTCCATCCCTGATTGAGTATCAAACTCCTCCGCTGAGATTTCTCCATGGAGACATTGGGTTTTCCTGGCAGGCAGGGTTGCAAACTACTCAGCGGAATGTCTACAGCTCTGCAGCTCCGGAGGAGCCAGGAGGCTGGGCATCCCAGCCAAGGGAAATACTGCTCTCGTCCCAAGAACACTTTCATGGAGACTGAGGTGCATACTGGATTAGAAACGGCTAAGCTGGGTTCTTGTTTTTTTTTTTGTTGTTGTTGTTTTCTTTTTCCCCTCGAAAATCTAAAGCATGGGGAAGAGAAATCCACAGACGAGAAATCTGGGGATCCTTATGGATGTTGCAAAATGCGGTTTGTTAATGGATCTTTTTTACTTCTGGTACTTCTGGCTTGTTGAACACACACGCGCACATACACACATACAGAGAATAACTTGGCAAGCTCGTGTTTTCGTGGCACAGCACCAGGAAATGGGAGTTCCCCTCCCAACAGAGAAGATCAGGGCAATGAGGCAAAGGTGGGGAATCAGACCCAGCCTGAGTCTCAGCGGAGCTCTGGCCCGGACAACTCTTACACAAATAATCTCCGGGAGCTCTGAACCCGTGCTTCATTGTGGACACAGACAGTGCTGTAGAAAAAACAGACTGAAATTGCTTCTCTTTCATGGCATCTGTAGTGTAAAAACGGTTTTCGTCCAAGACATTTGTGGTCGGAAAATCCTGACACCTCATAAATTATCTTAGAGGCGCAACAAAGCTTCAAAAAGATGAAACTCAATGCTGAGGTCAGCAGGAATTTTTTCGCATCTTCTGCAGTGGAGGAACATTTTCAGTCTCAGGAAACCACCACAAAAAGAGGCAGCAAGAAGAGAGAATATTTCTTGGCACGAGAACCTCAACGCTCAGGGGAGTGCGGCGTCTTATATTATTTATTTTTGGCCACCTCTGTGTTCACACATCATCAGAATATGATCCAAGTGACCAGGGGCAGCCTGATAGTGAGGTGGCTGCTGTAGTTAGGTGACAATTCCAGGTCCACCCAAACACTCAGGCTAATTGCTCCTGCATAGTGCTGGGGGCTACGTGGGCTGCGAACCTCCCAGGATCAGCCTGACAACACCTAATAGGGAAGTTTGGTTTGGGATAGGGGCGAAGCTCTGCATAACCACAGTAGGCTTCAGTGTGGGTTTGCAGAGAGCGTGGAGCAGCGTTGCGAGGAATGGTTTATGGTCTCGATCAGCTCATTACCCACAAACAGACAGTTGGCATTTTGTAAAGCTGTTTCCCTATTCCTCTCGACTACAAATGCAAACCCCACTGCTGGAGCTCTGGCTGTCCCGCTGCGGGAGGCTAAGCAGGCTGCTTAATCCCTCACACCTTCCCATGGCTGTAGCTAGTCCGAACAAGGACAACTGCTGGGCAGTTTCCCTTGCTCTCCTCTCGGACATTTCCTCTTTGCTGTACAGACGACAGCTTCCTTCTTCCAGATGAGAAGAAAGTGGGAAAAGACTCTTTGAAAGGGGGATGTCAAACACAAGAACCTCTGCAGGTACCCAGTCATGATCCTCTGCAGCACATTAAAGCCTCTGTTGGTCAAAACAGAGGGAAAACGATGGTTGAAAGGAGAACAGACGTGGTGTCCAGGATGACCTGTGGTTCCTGTGTTGTGGCGTGTGGCAGGAAGGACCCAGCCAAAACCAGGTAGCTCGGGAAGGAAAGGGGATGAGAAGTGGAAGAGATGTTTCTAAGAAGGCAGGACAGAAATCGGCTGCCCCGTAGCAGGCCCCGATGCTAATCCTAGCAGCCTGGGTAACTTCTGCCACCCCGAGCCATGCCTGGCCTCGCTCTGCAGTGCTGGTGGCAGGAGATGTGCCATGCCCCATGTGCTGGAGCCGTGCCTGCAGCCCGGTGAGGGCTGCCTGGGAAAGGCAACGGGCAGGATGCGGCAGCCAGCTCCCCTGCAGGCTCCCAGAGCAAGGCGGGTGCTGCTTCTAAAGCCAGTTCTGCAGGGCCAATCCCCCCTGGGACAGGCGGTGGGGTTTTAGGGTTGCTATTTATTCTATTTACTGAGTAATCACTAAAATGGCTCCCTTTTAATTTGGAGCATTGCCTGTTGCTTTTATGCGTCTCTCTTTGGAGAGCAAAGTTACAGGGTAAGATAGGAGCTGCTTTTTGTTTCAGGGGGTGGACAAAACTTTCAGGTTTGAAACCATTCTCCGTGTGTTCAGCCCTCTGAGTCCCTAGCAGGATCTGACCTCCCTGCCCACTTAGTAAATCAAGGGCTTCTAAGGCATGTAGAACTGATTTTATGGCAGCAAGATGCATTTCACTAGATTTATGTTATTAAACTGGAGGGGGGGAAGCCTCATTTTATTTGGGGCAGTCCTTGAGTTTTACAGGCTTGTTTGAGTAAGTAATTATTTTGGTAATGCTGGGGCCTCCTTTATTGAATCGTAAATGCATCCTGAACAGCTCTCGGAATAACAAGCAGACCTTTCCCTGAAAGTCCATGGATTGTCCTGATTAGCAAATGGGAACATTAGTAGTTTACTCTCCGATTAGCTTTGCTGCTGAGGGCTGCCTTGGTTCACTTCTCTGGGGCTACTCACAAGATTAAGCGTGTATGTAAATGTTTGCAGGATCAGTGCCACAAACGAAAAAAATAATAATAAAAAAAAAGACAACAACCCAAAAGCCCTTTCTTTGGAAACATCCTCTCTGACCATGTTAGGGAAAAGGATCAGATAATTGGGATCTTTATGATGCTTATTATAAAAAATGTTCTGGAACTAGTTCAAGCACCAATCAGAAACCACATTGTTCCACTAAATCACTTTCAGATGCCATTTCAGATACAGAATACAATTACTCCTAGTTTAAAAATATAAATGTTCCCTTCATAAAACACACACACACACACACACACAACTATTTTAATTTATTTTATTTTTATCTGTCTTGGCTGGAGTTCAGGCCTTCCACAGATGATCTATCAAGAGGTTTTGTGCCATTTCTTTCTGCTCGGTGTTGTGCAGAGCCCGCTGCGTGGTGCAGACGAGATCTGTGACATGGACATCGGGACTTTACATACAAAAGAGCTCTTGCACAAGCCAGGGGGCTGGAGGCCCAGGCTTGGATGTGTATGTGCTTAAGAAATCAGCTCAAAGCAAAACCTGGAACAGAGATTCTGCCCGCATGTTGCATTAAAAAGCCACCCGAGATGCCTGGAGGGGTTCCTGGCCTGTCTTTTTTTTTTTTTTTTAATTTATTTATTTTTGTTATTGGACAGTTATGGGTTTTGGGAAGCGAGCTCCTTTCCCTGCGTGGTGGCTGCCGCCCATGTGCTCCCCTTCTTGTTAGGAGGGAGAACGTGGAGGCCATGTGTGAGCTCAAGCTGTGAGCCTGGCCCTGGTGGTAAGTGGGGGACCCACCGCCTCCGTGCTGTTTATGTGCGAGCACACGCTGAGGTGCAGGCAAACGGGGAGGTGTGAAAGAGCCCGAGGGGGGAAAAACTGTTCCAACGGGGGCTGGATGGGCCGGGCACCCTGCAGACTGCAAAGCCCAGCTCAGCTCGACGTGGCACGAGCCTGCCACCCATGCACAGCCCTTGGTTACGGCTCTTGGTGTCAGGAGATGCTTCCAACCTCCTTCTGGCCAAGTCAACGCAGGGACCGGCATCTCCGGAGGGTTTCTCGGCCCCTCTTTAAGGAGGGAGTGAAGCATCTCTGCAGAGAGGTATGGAGGGAGCCCAGGATAACTCCACAGCTAGTCCCAGGGTGGGTGGTAAGCTGCTTGGAAAGGGTCCCAGCCTGCCCACGCTGCGGAGAGGCTCGGGGCGAATTCCTGAGCCTTGTGCTTTCACCGCGTCGCTGCTGGGCTGCACTGGGGATGTTTCTACCTCACTGGAGTGCCTCGCTGCCTCCGGGTCGGGACTGTCTGGGACATTTCTAATGGAAAGCTTTCCTCATCGTCAGGAAATGGTCCTTCGTCATTGCTGAAATCCTTCTCAAAGTGGTTCTGTTTTGGTGAGCTGCCGCCCAGCCCCAGCCACGAGCCTGCTCCCCTGCCAGCCGGCTGCCTCGTTGTGCAGGGCTTGGGGCCCCTGCGCTGCCTGCAGTCCTGCTGTGGGACGGGAAGCCCACAGACACCCTGAGCGTTGCTCCAGAATCCCTACAAACCCCCCCAGAGATGCCAGACCCCCAACAACCTGGCACGAAGCCCTGGGAACCTGGGATCAAAACAGGGATAACGAGGATTAGCTTTCTACCCCAAGGCTAGGGATGCTTGAGGATGCTGCCATCCTTCAGACGCTCCACGGGCCGTCCTTTTTTTTCTTTTTCTGGGGTGAGCAGAGGGATTTCTCAGCGTCGGGGCAACGTGAGAATCCTGAGGGCTGCATTTTGGAAAAAATTTATATGGAAACATTTTCATGTTTTCCAAAACAAAAGATGCTGAGGGGTTTGTTACTAAGGGAAAATTCCTGCACTAGTTTCGCAAAGGCTGGGATTTCTGCGTTTTCTTACTGTAGCTAATGCCTTCTTTAGGACGGCTGTAGTCCTGACATTGAGAGAAATGACCTTTGAACTCAGTGGTAGCCTAAATACATATGATATCCTGGCCCCAAAGAAAGCAGTGGACTCCCAGTGACTTGCCCCAGCGGCCTTGGTGAGACCAGGAGCTCAGGCACGGTGTGAGCTGGCATTGCCTGGGCCTCGTGGTGGAGTAAGGGATCTGCTCTGAACCAAACTTTTGGCTGGATGGGCAAAATCCACTCTGCTCCTCTGTCTCAGATTGCTGGGAAGCAAAATTTGAATGGAGAACAAAGCCACTTCTGAGGAATAAATGTTTAGGCTGATGTACAAATTCAAGAAACATTTTATACCAGTCTGAAAGGGATTTCCAGAAGCACAGGCTGTTCTTTCTACCACCAGTGACTGATTTTGCAGTGGGAGCAGAGGCAGGCTGATGCAAGGTGACAGTGGAAATTTGACCCTTAGTTCTGAGGATTTGTAACGTTTCTGGCCAGAAAACTTGAACTCTTGCTGAGATGTGATTATTTCTGTGATGTTTCGTTATTACAGGACAGTCACAGAGTCTCATTCAAAGGCCAGGACCCCCCTGTGCTTTGCCATGTCCCTAAAGAATGTCCCAGAGATTTCCAATCCAACTGGCCAATACTCTACCCAAGTCAAGAATGGCTCCCGAGCCCCTTCAGTGAGTATTTTTTAATTATTACGTCCTGCTGTTATCACTTTGTTTTTCAGCAAGGTGGTCGTGGCCTTTGCTGCAACGTGCTGATTTCTATTTAAAAGAGGTTGATGACAAATATTTCACAACCTTTGCATTACAATGCGCTTCTTACCTCAGGGATAAACGTTTGCTTGGCGAACAGGAAACATTCTTCACTGGTGAGATGGGGAAATGTTACAGGTCTTGGTGTTGCTAACTGTAGATTCACTATTAGGTTTGGGGTTTATGATGAGGCAACAGTCATTGGTGGTGTGTAATTTTTCAAACCTCTCACGTTTTCTGTTCTTCAAGATTATATTCCTAGTCCTTGTGATTATGGAAACATTTCTAGCACAAGACAACTTTATGAAAGCCTAAACAAACCTAGAAGACAAGTAAAAGTGTGTCACATTTCTTGTTCTTTTCTCTCTTTTCCTTTTTTCTCTTCCTTTTCATGCCTGCCTCCTGACTTTTTAATAGTGAGGCTTGGCAGCATAGAAAACTACAATGGGAAGAGAGCCAAGATTGTTTGTGCAGTCAGGTTTAAGCTGCAATATCAAAAGCGCAGCTCCTGCCTTGGATCCAAATATCATCAGAATCTGGTTTCCATTCAGTCTGGTGATTGGTTTTGAGCTCTGCACAACAAAGCTTAATTCACCTATACGGAGGTGTGGAAAACCAAGTGTCAGTACCTATTAGCAGCAGCCGGACAAGTGCCATGTTTATAGGTACGCACCTCTTCTGGGGCTCACTCCTCATTCCGCGATATCGCTGAAAATGCCAGAGGAAGCAGAAGCAGCAGGAGCAGAGGTAATGGGCTCAGGATGGTGCCAGAATGCCACGGGTGAGTTTCCTTGCAAGCTGCCCATGGAGAGGGCCCGTCAGCATGCACGAACAGAGCCATATTTCATTTGCACACAAGAACCCGGGATTGTCCTGGGAGGCAGTGTAAGAAACGGAGCAGCATGGTTGGTGCTAAACCAATAACAAATACCGTGTGCCCTCCTACCAAGAGATCAGAGCACAGGGGGGTGCCTGCAGCAGAGGGAAGCTGGGACAAGCACAGAACAGCGAGGATGTTTGTTAGTTCTTCATTGTGTCTCTTACCAAGCGTAACTAATCTCACCACTGTCAGTAGGGATTGTGACCATGGAATGAACTCGGCTCTGGGACCTCGTGGACATTTTTCATCGGAAATTTTTTAAACAAGACGTGGTATTTTTCATGCAAACATTAAAAATTACCTGTTTTGAATATTTTTTGGAGAAAAGAAAACCCAGTCTTTCACAAAATGAAACATTTTTACAATGCCAGGAGGTTCTGTTCCAACAGTTTTTGAGTGTTCTGAAATTTCATATTTTCCAATATGAAATGTATTTGGTTATATTTTTTGCATGTTTCAGAAAATCAGTGTCCAAATGAAATACATGAGTGTATACTTTGACTGATTGTATTTTCAATGTATTACCTTATCTCCAATGCAAAATGTTTTTACCCACATTGGAATAGCAAAGGAATTCAAAATCATGGAAATGTTCATGAGCTGAAGAGAAAGAAGAAGGCAGACAACGAAGAGAAACACAAGGAAAAGACCTTAGCAAGGAAACAGGGGTTCAATGAAGATCCACCAAGGTTAAAAATGGAAGAAAAGCAGAATGAAGCAGCTTGCAGGGTAGATTTCCAGGTATGGAGAAGTCCTGCACAGGAGGAGGACCCTGGATTATCCATGGGACTTGACCCAAGTTCAACAGGCTGTGATGGAAAGGAGAATTTGGATGCGTTGAACACTGCATTGCTTTGTTCAGATCTATTTATAAGGTTTATGCAACCTAATGAACACTTTCTGGAAAAAGTAACAGTGCTAAAAAACTTTGCAAAGCCCTCGTGACACGGGCTTTGACCGTCAGGTGTCCCTGAAGAGATGAGCCCTAACTTAGAGCTCCTGTAAGGCCACAGAGTGGAGATGAGTGCTCTGATTACGAGGGCGCGCAGGGCAGAGAGGCCTGGAGGTCTGGTTTCCATGAGGTGGTGGCAGAGTGCCTGGGTTCAGGATGTGCAGGGAAGGCCACCAAAGGCGGCAGCGCTGCAGGCTCAGGAAACTTGAAGAACACTGCTTCTGTGCACTGCTGGGAGCCTGGAGATATCCGGAAGAGGGGCAGAGCCTGGCTAGCAGCACAACTGCTTTCTCCACGGCCAAAAAGCAGAGCAGGGCTGACAGAGGAGGATGAAGATGGCGGTGCCCTACTCCCAGCACCATTCTGGTTGGCAGGCAGGCCTGTCCCCAAGGGCAAATCGTGCAGAGCCAGCTGCAGCCATCCCCCTTCTGCAAAACATGCACACAGCGTGGGGTCTCGCAGGCTTTCAGGGGCCTTCAAAACCACCTCTTGGGTGTGCTCCAACTGAGTGAACACTCCAAGGACACCACCAAGGTCCCCTGCCTCTCAGGCGGCACAAGCTAAAGTGATAAAAATTGAAACAAACAAACAAAACCCAACAAAACAAAGACAGAGAAAAGAGGGAAAAGATGCTGTGAGGCCCAAAGGGCTACAGATGTGGGTAGTGCTGAGCTTAATTGACTTCTTCCTTGCTTTGCGAGGAAGAAAGCTGCTGGGACAGCATTGCTGTCTTTCGGATTGTTACTGATTTATATTTTTTTTAATATATTTTTGTCCCCAAAGCAAACAGGCGAGTGACGTAAAGCAAATGGAACTGCGGTTCTCAAGCCGCGAGACTCGGAGATGATCCCAGGCTGCAAAATCCAGATCTGGATTTTGAGCTCCCTGCAGCACCAGGCCTTGCAGATCTTCAGCTGGTTTAGGTCTGCTGCCTGAAAGAGGGGGCAGGCTGCCAACTTCAGAGTCAGGTTCAGGTTTGAATTCTGAAGCCAGCCTCCCTCACCCAAAGTTCAGGGTCACTCACGGAGGCTCAGAAGGGGAAGCACCAATTCCAGCCCTTCTCCTCTAACAAGGATTGGTCTTACCATAACAATTCATCTGAGCCCCTAATGAGGAAAGCTGTCTTCTTTGTGATGACAGTTAAATATGTGCTCATTCTTCAATCAAAGGTTTGTATTATAGTAAGTTTAGGTTATTTCTGTACTGTGGGAGTACTCTGAATTCACAAACTGCAAGTTATTCTGGTTCAGAACATGTGGAGAACTTCTGAAGACCTCAGAATTAAAGCAGGTAGGTGTCCTGTCACAACCTGTGACCTTGTTTCCATTATCAGCCTTCAGTCCACACCCATTGATTTGTTCAACAGGGCTCTGAGGTGCTGGAACCATCTGTGAATGAAATGTAAAACAAAGGCCTTGAACTCTGATACTCACTGCAAATCTGTGATTGCTCCTTGCTTTGAAAGCTGTAATTCTCCCCAGTGGGAGAATTACTCATGGGCTGATGGGATTGTCCATCAGATGGTTGGAGAGGCATCACAGAATGACTTGGGCTGGATGGGACCTTAAAGACCACCCAGTTCCACCCCCCTGCCATGGGCAGAGACACCACCCACCAGACCAGGCTGTCCAAAGCCCCATCCAGCCTGGTCTTGAACATCTCCAGGGATTGGGCATCTACAGCTTCTCTGGGCAGCCTGTGCCAGTGCCTCACCGCCCTCTGAGTGAAGAATTTCCTCCTAATATCTAATCTAAATCTCCCCTCTTTTTAAAACCATTCCCCCCCGTCCTGTCATTATCTGCCTGAGCAAAAAGTTTCTCTCCACCAGTCAGGTGGAGAACATCATTATGATTTAATTGATTTTCCAAGCAAATCAGTGGAGTCGATTAAAAGTGAACTCCGAGAGCACATTTGCACAGTGGGGCAGCCACAAAAGAGCTTGCTTCAAGCTCTTAAACCAGGAAAAAGCATGACAAGTAACTCATGCCTCCTCATCCTCCTACCCTTCCCAGGCAAGAAGTGGAAGGGCAGTTCAGGGAGATGGAGCTGGCACACACAGAGTAACCCCAAAGCCTGTGATTGACTCAGGATGGTGAAAGAGGAGTACAGGGAGTGCAGTTACTCGATATGAAATAGGGTCCATGAAGCTTGCAGGGATTTCAGACACTGGGATTTTCTGCAACGTTTATTGGAACAGACAGGCTGAGAGCGCTATGGGATAAAGGATCCCAAATCAAACAGCCTAATTGGTCTCAAATGGAGTGACTAAGGAACTCTCTCCCTTCCAAAATGGGTCAAATTGCATTTTAGAAGGGGATCTCTGAAATTTGAGTGGGAGGCCTGGATAGAAAAACAAATGGATGAACTCATAATTGACATGGATTCCATTATGGCTAATACCGATGTCAGAGCTGCCACCGAATATGTCCTGCAAATCCTGTCTGGGGGAATTCCCTTTAGAGATGTGACCCAGGTGAAGCAAACTATTTGCTGTGAGCCTGTGAGGAACTGAGACTTTAATTGCAAACATATGGCCGGGTAACTTTCCAGCAAGTGAAAACTGGGGGATAGAGACCTGCTCTGAAACAGATGATCCAGAAGAGCTTTCACTGTCTCTGATCCTCGTTGTCCTGAAAGGGGAATGGCTTTCTGTGCTCTTGTATCATTTTATTCTGACCAGAAAACTAAGGAAAGGAAAGGTGATGTCAAAATATAACGTTAGCACAAAGAGCCCAGTGATTTTAGGAAGAATGAGGGTCATAGTTCCTTATGATTTTATTTAAAGATGGTTGATTCCTTTGTTTGTTTGTTTTTGTTTTTGTTTTTTAAGGCAGAGGTCTGATCTTCAGCCTGCTCCTGTCCTGGAGAAGTCATAAGGTGGCTTGTGTCATGAATAGCTCTGCCTAGGGTCAATTCCAGTCTGAGAAGATGTCTTAAAGGACAGGATCATCACCCACTTGTGAGGGGGACCAGTGTGGCTGCTTAAATGGTCAATTCTAGTGTTTGGTAAGTGCACAGCAGAAAGGAAGGCTTGTGTACCAGCTCCTGGCTGTGATTGCTGAGGCAAAGACAAAAGCAAGGGCCTGAGTTTCAAGGCAGCTCCCAAGTGAAGTTGGGGAAGTGCCCTGCAGAGGCTTCACAGAGCTTTTTCACACCATTTTCACAGCTGATTCCAACTCTCGGTTGTACTGTATCAGAGCTGGTCTCTACAACTGAGAGCTAGACGCCAAAGAGGGGGAAAAAACTGCAAGGCTTTTTGGTGCACTCGGGGCTGTGACAATTCCAGCCCCTTGTTTCATCTTGCCTATTATTACCTCTTCTAACTCCTGAAGGTTTATGGAGGATTTTCCATGGATTGCAGAATACCTTGAATACTAGGAAGTCAGTGTGCCTTTGTACTTGCCTCTGGGACCTGGAAGCATGTCCTTATGTGTAATGAGGGGTGGCTGGGAAAGAGTGAAGGGAAATATGGGCTGGCAAGACCAGGAGTGGTGAGATAAGTGTTTTTTTTTTTTAGGTTGCACAGTAGCTTCTAGGTACTGGTGTGGGAGAAGCAGCTTCTCAGTGTTGGTAATGGCTGTACTTGTGGTAAAGAAGGGATTTCCCTTTCCTTGAGCTTGCATCCAGGTAAGGCAGGCAGCACATCGGGTGTCAGCTGGGTGGTTGGCTTTTGGAAGAGAACCAGAGATGAGTTTGAACAAACGTGAGAACCTGTGAGTGCTGCTTTTGTGTCCATAGCTACACTCGTCCATGTGACTTAACTAATAAGGTTTGAAGAGGCAAAGATTGTAAGGAACTTGCAGCCTAATTGCTGCTTTGTGATGATGTTTAGCAGTTCACACAGGCCAAAGCACCAATTTTGGTCAGGATTATTTCTTTAAGAGCAGTGTCTGGGACATCTGTGGCAAAGGCTCTGGTTATTCTGAATAGTCCTGAGAATGAAACCAAGAAAAGTTGGGTCTGCAAAAACTGAGGCATTTAGCAGTAAATATTCCCTAAACCAGTGACCACATGTCTGAAAAATGAGATTTATGCAAAATGGGAAGGGAAGTTTCATAACAACACTCTCTCATAAAATAACAACAGTGATGTATGCACCCATGTACACGCACGTTCTTTCCAGATAAGATCAAATATCCAACACTCCAAAGATGAAACATTTTTCTATTTATTTTTCTCCTTCTGACTTTGAAATATATTTTTTCTGGGCAGAAATGCTGCAGAGAATTCTTTCAGCCACTGCTGGGAGTGATCTCTCTCCCTTGCCTGTAACAATGCATGTACACCAGGCCATTGCAGCCTGTAACTTCTCTTGCATATCCCAGTCCTCCTGCCATTCAAGTCCTGCTCTCCTTGTTCCATGCATCGCCTTCCAGGACTCTGGAATACGTTTCCTCTAAATGTTCTGTTGGTGGTGATTTTAGCAGATAAGATAGCGGTAGGTATGGGAGTGGAGTCATCAGAGCAATAGTGGGAACTGTTGGAAGGGAGGAGATGCAGAAAGGAGAGAGAAAATAAGGTAAAAAGATAGAAATGGAAGGAAGGAAATGAGGGAAGGGAAAGGTAGAGATGGAAGAGAAAGAAAAGATAGAAAAAGCAAGGATCCCAGAGGACAGATTCTTCCTCTGAGCCATGTTATATACTGCATAAATTACAGTAAATTGAAATATTGTTGATCTATAAAGGCTGTATTGTTCTCTTTTTCTCTTGGCCAACTACTAATGACGTAAGCAGGAACTCTGCTCTGGGCTGAAGAAGTCTAGAGCCTAGCAAGCAAGCCTGGCGCCCAGACTGGGGCTGGAAGTGGGATTTGGCCTCTGCTACAGAAAGACTTTGAGGATTCAGACTCAGAGGAACCCAGGGAATGTGAGGCTGCTGGGCAAGCTTCAGATAGGAGCATTTAGTCAGTGTTTCTTCCACAAAACCCAATAAAAATACATCTTGAAATCTTTTCCAGGAAGATGTCAGAACTCTTCTGCAGAGTTAACATGCCCAGCGCAGAGACCAGCTTAGTCATTCCAGAATAAGACAGAGGGGTCTAAGTCCTGCTAGAAGTCCATATATCCTGCAAGTCTGCTACGGGAGGTGCTCCATGATGTGTACAAATGTATGTGTGTATATGCATATATGTATGGAGGTATCACTGCTTATAAGTGCATGCAGTGATCTGTTTTCTCCCAATAATTCAGCAATTCTGCCTTCAGCTTTGCAGACTCCAGGATCCTGGCCAGCTGGAGCAGCGGAGGCTGCCAAGTCCCTCAGGTTGATGGAGCCAGCAGGCTGCTCCACCTGACTGTCTGGAAGCATTCTTTTGCTCTCTTGGGAGGTTCCCAGCGCGTCTCCATTTCCTCCGAAAGAAGGTTCACCCATGATTGCCAGCATCTGTGTCAGGTTTTCTTTCCATGGGTGCTGAGGCTGCAAAACCCAGAGCCCCGTGGCCCTTCTTTGCACTGTTTTAGCCATCTCCCAGCTGCACAAGGCCTGAAAATTTCAAAAAAATAGCTAAGTAGGCAGATGAAAAGACACAGGCTCCTGGCTAGTGCTATAGCTGCTACATAGGGATAGAGATGATGATCTCAAGAATTCTTTGTATCTTACAGCCTGATGAGGACAGTAACAACCCCTGGTTTTCTGCTTTTCTAAACGAGGAGAAGAATCTCTTTGTCAACAGCTGAGAAGATCCTGAAGAATACAAGTGTGTGAGGAGGTAACAAGGGGACAGCTGAAGTTTACGTTGTTGTTAAGTTTCTGTGCTAATCTCAGGAATGATATGCTGAAAAAGTAAATCCTTTGCAAATGCTCATGAATCTCTGGTATTTGGGTGCTCTGCAGCAGAGATGCAAAAACACAAAAAAAAGTTTTACCAGTTGATCTCACCATGTGGCTCTCATCTAGTGCTCTGTTCTGCCTGCTTCTTGCCTGGGATGGTGTTCAGGACAAGTGGGATCTTCAGAAGTGCTTCATATAGGGGAGAGTAAGAAAATTCTTCTTTCCCCCTTCTTCCCTGTCTAAGCAGCTTGGACTAACTGCACCTCCCTCTCTGGGTGCCCTTCCCAAGAACAAATGAAAGTTGTTCCTACCCAACACTTTGAAACTGAGGTAATGACTTGCACATCAACAATGCTGTCAGTTTTGTTATCTATCTGTAGTCGTGCCCTGCTGTTGTGCTGCCTAATGGGTAGCGTGGTCCCTTCCTGTGTTTGAGTCTTGTTTTACACCTCTAAGTCCTATCCTAAGCATGTACACAGCAGTGAGGTGCAGCCCCAGAAGTGGAGAGGAGAGCAGAGAAAGGAGAGGTAGAAAAAAGTGCCAGAAACTAGGCCTAGGAAGTTCGGTGAATGCATAAGCAATACGGTTAGTGTGTGCTTCTGAAATGGGGTGAAATGTATAATATGTAGCAAAAAGCAGCTTTGCTGGTTCTGGCTGACTTGCACAGTAGGTTTCTTTTATCCGTTTTTAATGTGTGAGATGTTCGCCCTGCTGAGGAACTCTGTCACTTTTTGTTCAGCTTGCTGGAGCTTTTCACACATAGACAAGAGATGCAACTCCATGCGCTTTCTCTCTTCCTTAATGCAGAGGTTCCCAAACCATGGCGAAGATCCCCGACAGCCTTCTTTATGTCTTTTGGAGCCTGTACACTTTTATTGTTCAGCTTTGAATAGAGAGTCTTAGAGAAGAGTTAGTTCTCCAGACTCGCTACAAACTTTTATAGCTTTACCAACCATAATGGGTCAAGGGCGAGGAGTGCTGTTTTGGCCACGAAGGTGCCGATTTCAAACCAGAATCTCGTTATTTTCTCTTTGATTTTTGAAAAACAAAGAGTTCTGGTGAGGAACTGCATGTAAAAAAGAGATGAGGATTAACGAAGAAGCGAAGAGGAGGTCTTTTTTTGCTTACGTGGAACGGAAGAAAAAATGAAGCAGCTGCTTGTGGAAACATGGAAGGTCTCCAGTATAATGAATAATAAGGATAATTTCAGCTATATTTTCAGAGATCGGAACAGTATTTATATGCAAATACTATCTCAGAAGGTAGTGGAAAAATCAGTTTTCCTAACATTGGCTGGAAAACAGAATTTGCAGTTCTGGAAGACTTGAGATTTCTATAGGAACCAAATGAGATGAAGTAGAAAGACTTAACAGAGGTGATTAAAAAGAGCTTATTTTGTGCTGAAAGCAAACTTTCTAGCCGAAGGACATTAATTACGTAGGGAGCAAATGGCTTTCTAGCGAGTTTAAAGGTGTCAGCTGCCTGCAGGGGTTAAGCCACAACAAAACCATGCCAGTATCTGCCCTTAATAATTCTGTGTAAGAAAGCCTTAGAGAGCTGAGCTAGCACAGCCTTGGAGGAACCACAGATGATGCACCTGATCTGGTGTAAATCAAGCTTACCCTACCTGAATTTTGGAGTCCTGTTAATATTGGAATGCACACAAAAGAAACCTTACTTCATAAATCAAGAAAGAGCCTTCCCCATTTTCTCTTGTTTTGAAGAAAGGCTGGAGGTCGGTGGTGTGGGCAGAACACTTCAACCACGCTGTCTGATGTATGGGAATTTTAAACAACGGTAAGAATTATGGATGTTATCTTGCATTAAGGATTTGCCTAATTTTGTGTTTTGTTTTGGTTGTTTTAGCAATAACAACGTTGTGGTTTCTGTACTCGCCTTCCCAAAGCACAGAGCCATCACAAACAAGCAAGCTCCTTCCTCTGCAGGGCGATTTCCGTTTTATTTTATTTTATTAGGGAGCTAAAGAAAAGCTTTGATCTACACTCCTGCCTGATATCTAATGAGGCATTTTCATCAAACTCTGCTCCTGACCGAACTCATGTTAATCTCAGCAAGATTCACATAGACAGATATTCTTGTGTTTCTGGATAGTGGAATGGGATCTTGTAATTCCACCTTGCTGGTATGAGCTCCATGGACACCACTGCAGGGACAGAGACCTTTCTGTAGAAAATTCATCGCAGGTTTGGAGCATAAGGGCAAGTATATTTCGCCTTAATTAATGTATGATTAAATCTTACTTATATGTGTTGGTCCTTCTCCCACTGAAGCTGATGGCAAATCTCCTGTGGAGTTCAGCAAAGTGGGGTGGAATCTATACAGAAATTGTTTTTCCCAGAACAACTTCGCAATAACCAGTGGGTTTGCAAACTCCTCACTCTGACACATTGAAACAATTTGGGACTTTCATTCCATTTTGCTTTAATTGGACTTACACTGCATCTAAGTCTTCCTAAGTGGGTTGCTCTGCCTAAAATATGTGCAGGCATGTTTGCACTCTCTGAGGGAACGTGGTGGTTAAACTAGAAGGCGAGGTTATGTTAGCAAGGATATTTTCTTTTTATACTGCTTCCAAAGGCAACCCTGTTTTGGGCTCACCACTCTGGCTTGACCGCTCTGTGCCTCTCCATCCCAAATCATGCTGGGATTTGATGATAAAGCACATCCTCTTTCCAGGAGCCAAGCCAACCCCTACATCCTAACTCACTGGTGTTCTGGTACCTTAGGCACTTTGTGGTCAGAAGGCAGACTGCGAATGTGGGTATTAGCCGTGGTGATGCTGGAATGTCCAAACCCTCTGTAGGAAGAGAGGTTTCTTACAGAGCTGTTGTTGCCCAGTTGATTGTCAGTTCCTTTGTTTTTATGTTTCTCAGACTGTGCCAGCCGAGATAGCTCTTAGCTGGATCCCAGCACTTACACGGCCTGCTTTGGTTCACATATTCCATAAAAGTTTTCCATCTCTAACCAAGGAATTTCAGATCAGGGTAAAAATGTGAGTAAATCAGAGCTGGCATCTGTCCCAGACATATCAATTCCCTTAATTCCCTTTTTCCTGTGGCTTTGGGACAATCAAAATAGGGAATGTTTCCATTGCTATACCTTCATGAAAGTACAATATGTGAATGCTATATCCTGAGTGCATCTAGTGTGTTTCCTTACCTTGGTCGTTACCAACTGCACAGCTTTCTCTGGCAATTATGTGAAACGGAGCACTGCAATAGAGTAAATCTTTTGGCAGGGCTTGGCTCCAGGGAAGATCAAAACCTCCAACGTGACAGTTAATGAAACAAGGAGAAAGAAGAGGGAAACTATCAGTCCCAGCCTGCCAACACTAACAGAGTCCGAAGGCAGCTGGAGGTGCCAAGGTGTCTGCTTGCAAGGTTGGGAGAGGGTTGGAGGGGCTGTACAGAGGGCTGCACCAAGGCAGGTTTTGCTCCACTTTGGGTGACTGAGGAGCAGTGGAGACAAGTCATCCCATCCAAGGATGGTTGGGTGCAGGTGTTGGTTGCATACTGTCTTTTTTTTAAGATAAAGAACAAGCCGACATTATTCTGCATCCCTTGGGCAGTGGTACTTTATCCGGGAGCTGGCTGGAGTAGACAGGAGCATGGCATGGATCCGGGGATATCATCTGAGTGCAAGGACAGCACGAAGAGAGCAACAGAGAGCACCTGGAGAGACGACCAGTGGCCTTCAACGGGTAACTTAAAGGAGTTAAAGACAAAATGTGGCAGCCTGCTGCATCACCAGCCATAAAGCGGAGCAGAGAGCAAGGGCCTCCAATAATGAGCCTTTTTATCTCTAAAGCAGTGTTTTGCAGGCTGTGATCCGTGGGCCTTCAGTGGTCCGTAAAACATCCAGTGGTGGCTCATGAAACAATAGTGAACCCTCTCTCCTCCCCTCCAGTGGCCGCAGAAACAAGCACACAACTAAATGGGAGAAAATAAAAGCTACTATAGATTAACTTTCAAATTGTAGTCTTTTGTTTATTTGAATTACTATGTTAAAAATATACAAGTTGGTCTTTGGATTTTTTTTTTTCTGAAAAAAGGTTAATCCTTGGACTTGAGAAGATTAAGAAATGTGGCTCTGAGGGTGCTATTTTTGGAGCCAATTACAACAGCATTGAAATGTTGAAAGATTCCTTTTGTTTGTTGAAAGATTAGGCTGAAGCCCTTCAGTCTATAAAAGAATAATAAACCCTAGTGGGATAAAATCCTTCACTGCAGTGAGGATACAAAAGCCACCTCAGAGTGGTATGTGGCCTGGACGGAGGCACAGGGCTGGCAGAGCCGGCACCGATAATTTCTGGAGTTATCTGTGCCCAAAAAAGAAAGTCTGTGCGCTTTTGCCTTATTCAGGTAGTATAATCTCACCCTCTCCCTCCTGCCATCATCTGGAGCTGCTCAGGTTTGTGAGAAGCACTGCCATCTGATTTGGCAGCCTTTGCAAAGCGAGACGCAGTTACACGGTGTGCCCAGTCCCTGGTAGTATCCTTCGATCTTGGATAATCTGCTCTGCAATGAGTCTCGTTACCATCGAAGGATTGGCACGGTCATGTCTCGTGAAACCTTGGAGCAAAAGCTAGCTCGAACTGACCTTTTTTTCTTTGCCAGCATTGTCATCTGGGACGTTTCTGTTTTGAGGACCAGGCAGTGTACATCTTGCACTGTGCAGCGTTTGCTTTTCAGAGCATCCCATTTTGAAGAGTAGTTTCTGGGTTGTTTGTAAACTACCTTGGGGTTCACTGGTGACGAAGATTACTCGGCTGTGTCTTGCCTCTGATTTTCTGCCTGTTATCTGCATGTACAGCTTACTGGAGGGCACAGCTGAGCTGAAGAAAAGGAAAATTATGTTTGAAGAGACACAAGCATTCCAGGGCACAGAGGTTGAACGAGAAGATAAAGCCACAGGGAAACAACCAGGCATGCTTTTGTCTTGTTTGCTTGCAGCAGGATCAGTGCAGCAGTGGGAACGACAAAAAGCACCTGGGTGCAGGGGTAGGAGTGTGTGTGATTTATAAGCAGCAGGTAACAACGGTGTCCTTGAGTTGTGGGCTGAATCCCTACAAACACAGGGAGCAAGAACTTCACGGCCGATGGGTCGCTGTAGGTGCTGTTCTCAGGCACCCGCCTGAGGCTGGTGGGCAGCAGGGGGTCATGTCCAGCAGCCCCGACCCACCTGGTGCTTTCAAAATTTTTGCCCAGCTCTTTCCCTCCCGAGCCGTGTCCCGATCCTGCTGCCCCAGCCCCTTGTCGTGGGGTGCTGTGTTACCTGTCACACTGGGGCATGAGCGAAGCATTAACAGAGCCTGATAAAAATCACATGGCGCCTTTCCCCGTTGTCTTAGCCAAGTTTCAGCATGATTAATCACACTGTGCCTGCCTAAATCTCCCCTCGTTCACCACGATTTTAATTCCTTTCATTTCTTTGCTGGCCGGTGTGTTATGTTGAGCAGCGCTGTTCTCATCTGTTGAACACCTCTATTTCACCCCAGAAAGTGCCCCGTCTCCGTAGCAAATGAGGTGATTCCCCTGTGTCTCTTATTTCTTCCCAGGACCGTGGTGAGGATTAATAAGCAGACTTTTGCAAAGCACTTTATGATCCTCTGATTAAAGGGTTTATACGAGGGTGAAATGTAGCCTCTAATACACCTTGTGCCGGGGACCAGAAGGTCAGACCGCAGCTGTACGCGCCTTTTGGGCTGTAAACGGGTACAATGTGTCATGAGCACAAAAAGGGGAAGCTGCCTTCATTCCCCAGCCATGACCTGAGCCAAAATTATCTCACATGTCCTTGGCACCAAGGCTTAGCACAGCACGCCGCCGGGGGTGAATCTTGGGATGGGTGACGGACAGCTGGTGCCTGAGGCACGTTTAGGTCCTAGGAAAGCAGGTTTTGGGGTGGAAGGAGATCGGCCCAACATACCTAATCCTCACCCACTGAATTTGGTGAAGTTTTGCAACTAGGCCTCCTCTCTGCTCTGAAACGGAGCTGTAAAAGCAAGAGGGTCTGTGAAATCAATGAAGCCAGCTTCCCTGCGTCTACCTCCTGATGTCTAATAAAAGTGAGCTTATTCATCCTCCCTTCACGTGGGCCCCCAGGTTGGATCTGTCTCCTCTGAGCGTGTATTTTATTGCCATTAACGTACAGCTTCTGAGAAGTCTGCCCTTTTGACCAAGTGGGTTTCAAAAGCTGCCAACCAGTTCCAAACTGATAAGGGAGCGCGGGAATGAGGGTTAGCACAGCGGTGTTGTTTCCTTGGGGAACTGGCCTGAAAACTGCCCCATCCAGCCCCCTTCCACCTGCCCTGTTTTGGCAAAAGGCAGGAGCTTCCAGGACTCAAACTGATTGCAGGGAGGGGGCTGTCGTGGAAGGAGGACAGGTCGGTTCCCCTGCATAATGCCTTGGCCTCAGCTTTGCAAGGAAGCTGCGGCCCAGAAGACTTCTTTTCCCTGCTGAGTGAGAGCCAGCACAATGACACCCTTCCCCCAGGCCTCCACCCTCTGCAGTGCAGTAATGGAGAAGGAAGATGATGCTGCTGTGTGCCACACGTTAACGCTGCAGCTGCTGGAGCAGCCTCCCCGTGCCGGATCCGTGCTGCCCCGGCAGCCACAGCTCTGCCCACCACCCCAGGAACACAGGGGTGAGCGAGCAGTCGAGTGCTGGGATCATATTGAGTGCTGGCTCCCAAAAAAACACTGCCGTGCTTGAAGCAGCAGCAAAGGGTGGGACCTGCATCTCCACAGCTCACGTCTCTGTCCCCTTAGCTCATAGCTGCTGAGCTCTGAGCTTGCACAGAAAGGGCCCTGCCTTTCCCACCACTCTCTTTCCTCCGCTGTTGCCTGCCACGTCCTTTTTATCACTGCAGTGGGTCCAGGCTGCGCGGATCAAACTGGGAATCTGCTCGGAATTAAAACCACCCCGTGGAGGTTGCAGCTCAGCCCCCGGCATAGACAGGCTTGCGTGATGGTGAAGGTTGAGTTTATATCTCGTGGGACTTCCAGAGGTGCGAGCCAAGCCCCATTCCTAATAACCAGCCAGGTGCTTGGCAGAACATGGACAATCCACCCACCAGGACCGACGTCTCCTCCTGGAGAAGCCCCCACCTCCTGCCCGGGGGCTGTGGAGAGCCAGGGGTGAAGGTGCCCCTCAGGCAGCAGGGAAGCATCGCTTGATGCCACGTTTCTCGAATTTCCTCACTCTGTCCCAGCAGTCTTTTTAGGGGGCTGAGCAGGGGCATATGGCCTGGAGGCTGCTATTCTGCTTTGCTTGCTGCTTCGTTTTAAAGGCAGCCCCTCTCCAGGGCGCTCTCTGGGCATGTGAAAATAATGTAAAGCCCGCAGCTATGGCAGAGTGCTACACAACTACTGTGCGAGCCCTACACAAACAAATTGGAGTCATCCCTGACCGCTGCCCCATGGAGAGCTCCTCAAAACACTGCTGGGCTCGCACCACAGCCCCCACGGCGAGCTCGCTGCAGTTGCTCGCCCCACGCACCGCTCAGGAGGAGCCGGCTGACATTTCATCGTGTGCCATCCGTCACGCCGGAGGACAGGCAGCAATGTCATTGTGGGCATTCCTGGTGTGTCACCGCCGCTGGGACTCATTCCATGCGGCTTCTCGGGTAAAACTTGGGGCCTGTTGCAAGGACTGGCGAGGGTGGAAGCCAGCTCCAGCGATGCTCGTGACAAGCAACGCTGCTTCCATCATCCGACTGGGACCTCTGGCAGCCCTTCGGGCGTGCATGGGGATTAGCATCAGATTTGCCAGCTTGGAGGCCTTTTACCTCCACCAGATCACGTTCCTCAGTGGGGCCGTGCCCCATGCTGTGCCTGTCCGAGCCGTTCTGCCTCTTCTTGCTCCCTGGTGGATGCCACCAAGAAGTGAAACGCGGGCTGCGAGCAGCGCGAAAGGGTTAAGGCGTGTTGTTCATTGTCACATGGTGCTGGGAATGCAAACGGAGCGAGAGGCTGGGGAGCACATCTTGACTGCACATGTGGCCTCTACCACAAACACTTCAAAGTGCTTCCCTCAGACTGACGGAACAGCCTGACGCCGACTGTAAATGCCCTTGACACGCAGAGTGGAAAATATCAAACGCTTCGGCAGTCCCCCCAAAACGCAGCCTGTTTTCACTGGGGAAGGCCTTAATGAACCTGTGCGGGAGAGGAGGAGGAGGAGGAGGGCTGGGCGGACGGCAGTGGGACGGGTGGTTCTCATTTAGCCTGTGTACGGGTACACGCCAGCCCGGGCAACTGGACTTAATCTGAGGCAAAGCCAAGCGCTCTAGGACATTTTAAGAGGGGCCGGCACGACTGCAGGCGGCTCCGTGTCAAGACCCCAGCGCGCCGTCCCCCTTTCCTGCCCCGCTGCCTGTGCAGAACTGCGCAATTAGGAACAAAGGGGTTTCCAGGCTGGAGGTTTCTCCCTTTCCTCGAGAAACCCCCACCTCCTCCCATCCCCGTGCCTCCCCTCCATGAAATGGCCGCCCTGGCCTGGTGCTCGCGTGACACCAAAATCACCCCCTATGGCCCCATAGGAAGCCAGCCCTGCTGAGGGACGTCCCCACCTCAGGGAGAGGAGACGTGTGGTGGCCCCGTCCTCCTCGGGCTGTGGGACGGGGCAGAGCGTGGTAGCATCGGGGACACTGTGCTGTGGCCCTGCCTGGGGACAGTCCCCTCTTTGGTCACCCGTGACATCCCAGGAAATGTGTCTGGCTGCCATTTTTGAGTAGTGTGCCCCAAGGGGCTGAGGCCTTGTCCCCCAGCAGAGACCCCAGCCCAGGGACAACCACGTCCCCCATGCCGTGTGGAAACCTTCAAGCAGAGGGCAAGGGCCTGTGTCTGTGGCAAAGGTGTGAGGCACCGGAGCGTGGCTTTTGACCTTGAATTAGCACCAAAAACACCTAACCAGCCTCCGATGGCCCATTTTGAGCCTGATGCCCTCTCTCAAGGGGAGAAGGAGAGCGA